CAGTGCTCCTCGGTATTTCGGTATATATAGGCTTCGGTTACGGCAGAAGGGGTCAAGTGAAAATTTATCACCTATAAACCGTATACTGTAGGCACATTGGTTCTAGCCGCTACAGTTTTGATCACCGGTAAATGAGGAAGCGTTGGGGATACGGCAACGCATGAGAGGTGATGACATAATCAGTTAGTCTGCGAAACCTGGTGAGTTTTGATGGACGAGCGACACTGACCGGGTGATTGGACCATTTCTGTCAATGTCATTAACCGTTGGTGACTGGAGTCCCCATCCAGGAAGGCGATGGTTGTCTACCCGACTGACTTTACTGGTTACCGCCTTCGCACTTTGTTACCAGGTCATACATTGTCCATCGCTCGGTCGCTTCCATTCAACATAGGCCTGGGTGGGAAGAGCTCTGTGAGGTAGACGGTTCTCTGATATCCGAAGCACATGTCCTAACCGGAGCAACCTATGAAGCGTGAGTAACTCATCCATCGTGGAAGCGTTCCATTGATCTTAAAATCACCTGGCGTGCCTCAGCATTACTAATCAGATGCTCCCATCAGACCCGACAAATGCTTCGGAGATACCGATGGTGAAACACTGTATCCTTCGTATGCCTTCTGCGCTTAGAGGCCACGTTTCCGACCCAGAAAGCAGTATAGAACGCACCACCGCAGTGTAAACTCTGCCCCTAACAGACAAACTCACGTCACCCGGGCACCGTGTGTGCTGGCGTTTGGCAAAATCTTCCCTGGTCTTCCCGATTCGAGAAGTAATCTCATCTCCAGCCAGTCCACCGGGACTTATACAGCTGCCCAGGTAAACGAACTTATCTGCCACGTTGATTGGCTCGCCTGCAAGTATGAATTTTGGGTTCGATCTAACCGATGAGCAGGTGTGAACGCATGTCGAACCGTGCAGCACAGTTATTTAGGTTATCTAAAATGGTTTGCATTTTTTGAGAGATCTGAACCAAGGAGAGCGATATCGTCTGCATACACAATATCTGTTAGCCAGCATTCTGGGAGCATTTCGACCTCCCAGGTTTCAGAGACAGGCAGAGAAATTTCAAGAGATCCCAGCAATAACAAAAAGGTGAGGGAGGGCAGTTCTGTCTTACACCACTGGACATGGTAAACCTAGGCGAAAGCTTCCCGTATGCTCGTATTTGCCCATAGGAGTTCGCACACAGTGCTCCCATAAGAGATATAAGTTTGGAAGAGACTCCTTTGATCACCAGACATCGCCAAATTTTTTCCACAATCGACATGGTCAGAAGTAGATTTCATATCAAGAAAAACGACCGTGCGACGTTGCGCTGTTAAAAAACTTGTCACAAGGTAAGGATATGGTCGATTAATGCACTGCAAGCTTGATTTTCTCGAATCCGTCTGTCGCGATAATGGATCTACGCAGAAAAGTGTCAGAGAGCACCCTAGATGCGATGGAATACCAGGCTGACACCACAATGGTTTTCACATGACGTCAACGCGCCCATTTTTTAAACTGAAACGACGGTCGAGGAGCTCTATTCGGTTGGTATCGTTTTCGCTTCAAATCTTCGAAAGTAAGGTTGTCAGAGTGATCGCCAGGACCTCACTGCCATTTTTGAGGAGTAGGGGCTGCAGACCATTTGTACCAGGTGCCTTGTCGCGTTGGAGAATTGATATCTCACGCTGGGTTTCGGTTGTTGATGGCGAGTTGGTGTCGATGTTTCACTCGGGTTCGCTGGGTTCTTCCAGCGGTGGCGTTGAAGGAGGCCAGCTAAAGTGTTCGGTGCTGAGCCCATCGCTCAAGACGACGAGTGAGGGAGTGAACTGCCGCTCCATCTTTTTCGCATATTGTCTTACTGACACCTGCCTTCTTTTGACCCGTTGATCGAATCAGTTGAAACAGGTAGCGGCTGTTTCCTGCAGCGAAAGCCTTCTCCATCTCCTTGGCCTTCGAAGTCCACCAGTGTTCTCTGTCATTCTTCAAGGTCCTAAATATCCGGTGTTTCCCTTCTCCACTCCTTGGCCTTCGAAGTCCACCAGTGTTCTCTGTCATTCTTCAAGGTCCTAAATATCCGGTGTTTGAGGGACTCGTGTGCACCATCACAGTCGATAAGTGTTGGTATTGTCTTTCTGGCAGCAACAAGATCTGCTGATCTCGACGATACCCGATGTAATCGTTTGGTCGAGTCAGATGGCTAAGACAAACAGTTCTGAAAGCTGAGAGCATAACTTCTTTAACCCACTTCTATTTAACCTCACAAAAACTTCATCCGCAAGACTATGTTTCCAGCAGCTTGATATTTGAGCTACTGAAACGTGATAAATGGAGCTGTTCTGCTTTGACACGCGTAACGCTGAAAGAAAGCGAAGTAAGCACAATGAGATGATCAGAAATAAGTTGGGTATCCCAGAAGGAACGAAAATCTTTAATGCAGGATTTCCATCGGAAACTGATAGCAACATGGTAAAATTGAGGCTATGACCGTCTTGGGGTTGGTGGACTCCAAGTAACTCGATGTGAGCAGTCAGTCTTCATTACTCATACGCCCAACATCGACCAGAAACTACCACCTAACTGCCGTGCTTATTCCGGGCTTAGTCGTCCAACTTGGGTATTCACATCACCCGCCAGAATTACCGTATTTATCCTTCTTGCTGACGAAAACAGTCTTGACATATCTTGGTAAAAAAAACCTGTCCTCAGCCTGAGAACTGCTGTGTGTCAGGGCGTACGCCAACAGGTCAAATAAACACAGTTTACCACATCGACCAGCGTTGATCTTAATTGAGCCAGACAATCGCGCAGCGCAAAGACGACCATTTACTGGGATCCAGTTTAGACGCTTTCAGCCTTGGGGCTGAGTGCAACTCCCACACCGTAGATACCACGAGCAATTGCGTCATGATCACCGGATACCGGAAAAGTGAAATATGAAACATCTGAGCTCGTTCTAAACAACTTGATGTGTACGACACCGACAGACAGGAAGCGAAGTTTCAGCAAGAGATGCCCGTTGTCCATTCGACAAAGAGTACGGACAGTAAAGGCTGCAACGTGGATCAGATCTTTCGAGGTTTTGTTTTATTGTTGTGGGCAATGGTTTAAACACGGAACATTGGCTAGGGGACTGGCAGATGGGCTGATCGCGCTGCATCGTTCGATGAGTGGAGAGGGGGTGTAGGGGAAGGCCAGTGAGCGAAGGAACTGCAAGGGTAAACGATACTTCCTGGTTGCCCAAGCTGAAGAAGGAGGTTTAGTTGAGTTACCCCATCTTGAACCTTTGGCTCAAAAGTTGACGCACAAGGCACTCAGGGACCCTGCACTTAGCCTCTGACTCAATAGTATGAACCGCAAGGCAGCGTTTTCTAGGGTTTTCTTGGAGGACCCTTCCTGGAGCCAGCAACTCAATATTCTGACCCGCGGGCTGGCCCGTCCCGGAGGTACATGGAGTAGGGCATTACTCTCTCACACACAAAAAACCTGCTGAACAATACCAGTCTCTTTGCTTCCAAAAGTATTCGACCATTTCAACTAATGGAACGGCGGTCACAGACAACTGTTGGGTGACCGGAATGAGCGATTTTAGGGCCGACCTTTTCTAACCCATCTTTCCTCAGGGGAAGGCAGTGTCACTAATTTCTCCAGACCTCGTAATACGATTACTCGCAATATGGAGACTCGCTGCTTTTCGAAGGGCTACTCCCCGTTGGCCTTCCTGGCACCGTTAGTGTTGACGAGGGAATGTTTTGCGATGAGCACTGAAAACGCACAAAACTTAAGGCTTATTTATTATGTGAAATGACGCCTGCTGTAGTTATCAGATGAAATGTCTACCTACAACGGAACAAAATACCGGTCATCGTGTCATATCACAATTGTTCCTAATGGCGATGAAAAGTAGCCATGGTAACCGATATGTCTCACCAGTCAACGTATGTCACATCCATCCACAAATATGAATTGCCGATCCCATGATGTGGAGACTGATTTAGCATCTCGAACGAACAGCTTAATACTGTGAAAGCTGTGGGGATTCAGTGTAACTAAATAACGTACCTACTCTTGAGCGTATAGCTGATACACGGCGAAACAACAGAAATTTGAACATTCTTAAGCTGATAATCGTACACACGCATCCTGATTGGTGGGAACTAGGAAATTTTCGCGTAATCTTTTGTCCGGTTTCCATCTAAATTACTCCGATTTAACGTTATCCGTCTGACGTTGCAGTGAGTGAGAGAAAGGACCGAAGTGGCGATGAAACTGATGCAATTACTAAAAACTTGGTGAGTATCGAGTCAGCATGCTTCGTTTCAACCCCAGGTTCCTGCTTAATGGTCTCTAACCCGTACGCAAATTTGAACTGTTCCGACATCTGGTACCACATATGGCAGTGTCAACAATGATGTTGCTGTCTCTAATGATGATAACTACATACGTATCCTAGACTAAGCCACCGACTGTCCAGAAATGTCATTTACATTTCCGTAGGCCAGTAGGTCAAATGTGGCAGCTTATCCTACTATATAGGAGAACTAAGAGCAGGAGAATCCGCCGATTTTGATACAGAGTGCTTTTGACATCAGTTGTTTGACGTGAGTGTTCAATGGTAAATCGGGGTCCCTTAGAAAGGGCATATCATTGAAACGCTACCTCTTGGGATTTAGACCAGCCGCTTCCGGAACCAACTAGAGTCTCCTGTACGGTTTTAGTCAGCTGTCTGTCCTAGATGAAATTTATATGGAAGACCGTTCAGTTCGATGAATCAAACGCGCAGGAAATACGGTGCTCAATATGTACTTCCATGACCATCCATAAAAGGTAATGCTTCGTTTATAAAAGTGTACATCAGGCTGTGCAACTGGCAAAATGGATTATTTTTAATTGGACAGCAATTACAACTGTCCATGAATAAATGTTCATTGATGTGCTAAACCAGATCAAATAAAAAATGCCTAAGGAATATATTTCAAATTTTAATTGAGGATAGATACACCATAACTTACTTTTGATTAGGACGAAAATCATCAGCAGCCGCAGGCGATCATCGACCGAGGTAAAGTCATACCGAAACATATCCGATAAGCAGCGCATGGGATCCCGTACAGGCTCGCCTTCAGCGGTTTGACCCATTACCAAGTCCTCGAATGAAAGATGAGAGTAATTGTCTTCGAAGAATGCCATAGTAACATTCGAATTTACTTTTAATCTAGGCTTTAAAAACCGAGGATTCGAAAATTATTCACTTTATCGCAGGACGAGCTGCATGAGGAAGGCGTTAAGATTCACAAACAAATATGTCGGCCAGATAGGACGATGAACAGTTACTATTCAACAAAATGTTGACGTGATGAGTGTGAAGCAAAGGGAAAATACGTGAAATTACTCCGATTTCATCGGATAAAATAGCGGAAACTATATTAGGCGAACGATATCCATTTGAATAATCACGTCCAAATTGTATACGTAGCAACAGTCATCATCATCATCATCAACGACAATCATCATCAAGCATGACATCAGTGCTCAATACCAATGCTTCACTGCCGTACAGCCATGACTTATTTGAAAGCCTTATTGTAAAGAAAAGAAAAGAAGTGGATGGGGGAGGGACTTAGTGCTAGCTTAACACAATCATTCCGAGGTGCCTACACCTCCAGACATTCATTCAGGCAATCTGGACAGAAACTGACAACAAGAACGCCACTGACATCGGTTGGCAGCCATATCTTGTAGTGTCTCCAACCAGGCACAGTGAGGATCAC